TCATCCCTTCCTATGTTACTGATCCTTTGTTATAGAGCCTACGTGTTGCGTAATAGAACTTACGTCTCAATCCTTGTGGTTCTCCCTTGTCTGCATTCTACAATTGGCGACCCTGCCAGGATCAATAATGGCAAAGCCAGGTAAACTGTCTGGTGATGAAATTCAGCCGCTGACCTCCGATCCGGGGGTAAGGATTGCTTCTGCTTTGGAATCCTTGTCGGACGCTATACGGAAGATGACAACCAATCTGACACCCGCCCCTTCCACACCCCCGTTACCCCCTCCAGAAAAGTTTTTTCCAGGCATGCCATATCTCCGATGGGAGAAACAGGTGCAAATGTACGTCAATCACTTTCCAGCCCAACAACGGGGTACGGTGATCATGGGCCTGCTAGCAGGAGAGGCATTCGACAAAGTTACGGATAGTAAAGTGCTAGAGGGAGAAGTCACCACGGAAACCTTCGCTGCCCTTCGCCGCATCTTAGATTGGCCTGGCCTGCCCGATGAACTGCGCAGAGTTTTCCATACCCGGTATCAGAGACCGGGAGAAAACGTGGAAACATTCGTTCGCGAATTGCGGAGGATGGCGGTAAATGCCTACACAGATGAAACGCCGGAACAACAGGACAAGCGAGTGTTAGAGCAGTTGCTCGAGGGCATCCAGACGCCCTCGATAAAAAGAGAGTTCCGTTTACGACGACCTACGTGTCTTCAGGCAGCCTTAACAGTGGCAGATCAATTAGAGCAAGTCGACGAGTCCATGGGCCCCATGGAACCATGCTGCGTGCTGAATCGATACAGCCCCGCTAGATTCCAACCACCAGACCGAAGAAATTGGAATCGCGTCCCGTTTCGAGGGGATTATTCGCGACCTCCAGTGCAATCGTACTTCCGAAGGCCCCGCCCCCCTCCACCAAGAAGAGGAAATTTCCCGCCAAGCCGTGGCAGGCGAAATCTTCAAGGTGAGTGCGGTCGTGTGAAGTCAGTTTTCATTCCCGCCGTCACTAGTGCAACGTCCGCATTTTCATTAACGATAGAGCTAATCGTAGCAGGGGCGCCACTGGTAGGTCTAATTGACACAGAGGCATGCAGGAGCTTAGTCCGAGCTGATATAACCAAGTCGCTGACAGATTGTTTGTGGACACCATGTTACTGTCATCTGACCGCTGCTAATGGGGAACCCCTGGCTGTTCGGGATTCTATCACTGCTCAGGTGCACATTGCTAACGAGAAGTTCCGCCATGAGTTTATTGTCGCCGATAACCTTCCATTTGCTGTAATCATTGGAATGGACTTATTGCGACGTCTGAGATGTCACTTAGATTTAGACAAATGCCAGTTGATCACCGAGAGTTGCGTTACTTTGCTTAAACAAGGCCACGCTGACAGTCGTAAAACGTTTACGATTTGTGGGAGCCCCTCTGACGAGGAACACCAGGTAGACACGTTTATCCGCTCACTCGTGTTGCCAGCGGACGAGGGAACGTTAGAAATGCTCAAAGAAGTACTGCTAGCCCACTCTGATGCATTCGCCTGGCAGACTGGTGACCTGGGCCGCACCAGCGTCGTGAAACACCTAATCGACACGGGGAATAAGACCCCGATTATGACTCACCCAAGACGGATCCCAGTGCACTGGCAAGGCGAGCTGCAAAAGCTCATAGACGAGATGTTGAAAAAGGAAGTCATACGACCCTCTACTTCCCCATGGGCAGCCCCAGTCGTCTTGGTAAAGAAGAAAGACGGTGGCTTTAGGCTGTGTGTTGATTACAGGCGGCTAAACGAGGTCACGCGGAAAGATGCATACCCACTGCCCAGAATCGATGACCTTTTCGACGCGCTCGGAGGATCGGCTTATTTCAGCACGCTAGATTTGGTGTCCGGCTATTGGCAAGTGGAAGTTGAAGAGAGTGACCGAGCGAAGACAGCCTTTGTAATCCCTTCAGGTCTTTATGAGTTCCAAACAATGCCTTTCGGCCTAACAAACGCTCCTGCAACATTCCAACGCCTTATGCAGAAAGTGCTTCAGGATTTAATTCCTCACAAGTGTTTCGTCTATCTGGACGATGTCATCATACATGGGAGAACGAAGGAGGAACATCTAAGCAATCTAGCTGAAGTGTTAACGTGTCTAATCAAGGTAGGTTTGAAACTTCAACCAAAAAATGTCGCTTACTACAAGAAGAAGTTACCTATCTCGGACACATCATCTCTAGAGCAGGCATCCGGACAGATCCGCGCAAGACAGATCAGATAAAGGCGTGGCCAATTCCCATTAATGCCGAGGAGTTACGCAGTTTCTTAGGACTGGCATCATACTACCGTCGATTCATAAAAGGGTTTTCGGAGGTCGCAGCCCCTTTAAACGCGTTGTTGCAGAATACTCGCAATTTCGATTGGACTGTCGAATGTCAAACGAGCTTCGATCGATTGCGTGAGTCTCTGTGTACTGCCCCGATGTTAATCTTCCCCGACTTGTCACCACACGCTGGGGAGTTTATCTTGGACACGGATGCTAGCGATCAAGCCATTGGAGCGGTTTTGTCACAAAAAGGGCGGGATGGCATAGAGAGAGTGGTTTCATACAGTAGTAGAAGCCTTACGTCAAGAGAAAGAAATTACTGTACGACAAGGAAAGAAATGGTGGCGTTGGTGTTTTTCATAAAACAAAATCGGCACTACCTTCTAGGAAGAAAATTCTTAGTACGGACTGATCACCAATCACTCAGATGGTTGCAAAACTTCAGGGACCCTGAGGGGCAGGTTGCTCGATGGCAGGAGCAACTACAGGAGTATGAGTTCGAATGCCACCATCGGCCTAGGAAACTACACGGCAACACGGACGCGCTATCGAGGATTCCGTCTCGAGATCACGGAAACTGTCCTTCCTGCATTACGCAACACGTAGCGCTAGTCAACCTACAAAAAGCCGATTATGGTCGTTGGCAAGAGGCACAGGCTTCGGACCCAGACATATCACTCATCTACCATGAGCGGCGCTCGGGAAGGGACAAACCAGCTCCGAAAGAAATGGAAGGGAAAAGCTACGAAGCTCGGTGCTTGTGGGCGACGTGGGATAAACTCGCCATCGAAGAGGGTGTGTTGGTCTTCGATTTCGGCCCCACGTACCTGAGGAGGATCGTTGTTCCACAGGCGTTAGTTACCGAAGTGCTGTCGGAACTGCACCAACAGCTGGGACACGCTGGAATCAATAAACTCGAATCGGCGGCGCGTCAACGATTTTGGTGGCCGCACCAACGAAGAGACATTGTCAACTTCTGCCAAACTTGCGAAAGATGCGCGACGTTCAAAAATCCGCCTATTGCTCATAGGGCACCATTACAATCCATGACAGCAGGTTACCCGAACGAAATAGTTGGAGTAGACCTCGTTGGTTCACTACCGGAAACGCCGAGAGGGAATCGCCACATTCTAGTCATGGTAGACTACTTCACCAAATGGTGCGAAGCCGTGCCAATCGCGCAGGCTGATACTCTCACTGTGGCAACAGCGATGACTAACCACTGGGTTTGCCAATGGGGAGCGCCTGGGCAATTGCATTCCGATAGGGGATCATGTTTCGAAAGCTCACTGGTCCAGGAGATGTGCAGAGTACTCGGTATTGATAAAACGCGAACAACGGCCTACCATCCACAAGGGAACGGACAAGTTGAACTTACGAATCGGTCGTTGAAGTCACTCTTGAAGGCGTTCGTGGACCAGAACATTTACGAGTGGGATACGTTATTGCCTAAATGCTTATTGGCCTATCGCAGTACGGTCCACTCTTCTACCGGACAAACGCCGTCGTTTATGTGGACGGGTAGAGAAGTTCGGTTGCCCTCGGATGTCCGATTACCGAGATCACAACAGGTATACCCGTCGGTTGTTGAATACGTCAGCAAACTCCTCGACTCCGTTCGACGCACACATGAAGCGGCACGCATCCATTTGGCGAACGCTCAACGGCGACAGAAGGAATACTACGACAAGAAGGTCTTCGGTGTCCCGTTGAAAGCAGGCGACCTCGTATATTTGCATCAGGCACCAGTATCCGGAATACCAGCGAAGCTGCATCGTGAGTGGACTGGCCCCTACGTGGTAGACCGAATAATATCTGATCTGACTTGTGTGATTAGGGACCCAAAGAACGCCGTTGGGCCGCCCATGGTCGTACACTTTAATCGGCTTAAACCTTTCCATATCGAATCTGAGCATTCGGATGAGGAACATCACAATGAGCCACCGACAGAAGTAGCCACCGAAGTTGAAGTACCAGCTCAAGGGGGCTTTGGTGTGGCAACGGGGACGTTGCCTATATAGAAGGGGTGCGGTGTAAAGAGTGATCGAAACTAGTTTGGCGCGTGGTTGAATTTAAATCGTTGCTCTGACGACACCTTTTCTGTCTGCCTTTCAGAAAGACACTCCTGCGCAATTATTGAAGAAGGACAAAAACCTGAAGCGAACAGTTGACTGTAACTTTTCTTTCATCCCTTCCTATGTTACTGATCCTTTGTTATAGAGCCTACGTGTTGCGTAATAGAACTTACGTCTCAATCCTTGTGGTTCTCCCTTGTCTGCATTCTACAATGGGTTCGATCCCCAGCAGGGGACCGAGTAAGTGCACCAATGGCGAGCCCTAGTGTTGCGAAACCATCGTTTTCTGCATGTCCGGTTTGGGGTTAGACAGCCTGGCTTTTTGTCAGAGCTCAAGCAAATCTGCGTGACATGTGTACTAGTGAAATTGGCATGCTCCAAACCAGACCAATAAAGCCTATGAACAATTAATTTTTCGCAGAGTAGAAAGGCCGAACACCATATATTTCCCGTCATTGTGGAATTTGGTTAGCATGCTTTATAAGTCCTTGCCACCAATGAGCTGTCTGCTCTCGTGGACTAAACAGCCCCACTCATGTAGCACGGAAAAGATGGGGAGGACAACCTCGAAATGAACGGAGACAAAATAGAGGCATACGCTAAGACTGACCAACCCCACTTACCTGTATCCGAGTCTGAATCGCATGTACCATCGGGGCAAAGCAAGGTGGCAGCACATCTTCACCCAGTAGACTACCAATTTCGTACACGTAGAACCCCAGCTCAACCAGACGCATCATGATCAGTGCCGGTTGATGTTGCACTTCTTCCAACACACGCACAATGCCGTCACGAGCCTCCCACAAATCTTTTTCATAAGGGCTATAATCCAGTTTGGTGATTAGTTCATTCAATATGTTCGGAATGAGCCCAATACGATCTCGAAACTGTATGCATGGCGTGAAATCACGCACAATAATACCGTTTTGAATGGTTTCCAGATCATCGCATGTATCCTGAAGGACCCTTTGCAACCGTATGATATCAGCACGTGCAGCATTGTTGATCTTGCACGAACTCGGTAGCTGGTTGGTCTCTTCTATGATCATAGGTCTATATTCGCTCACTTCTGCGTCACATTCGCCTTCACGTTCGGGTTCGGGCTCACGGAAATCCAACCTGTTCTCTGCACCCGCCTTTGTAACCGGAGCTTCAGCCCCATGATGCAATGGACTTAGACAAGTTCGAGATTTCTTCACAGTTTCTTCCACTGGTGTGGTGGCACTGGCACCAAGCGGTATGCTTGAACTACCTTGAATGCATTTGTCAGAGAAGTCAGAGACCGTGTGAGCACCATCTGGTGAGCGTGTGACCTTGAGATGGGTCATCAGATTCAGACTTGGTCTGGACTCGTTCTCTCGCTTGCCAGTGAGTCCGTCCAACCAGATTCCATGCTGTTCACGCTCATCGATGAGGTGATCAGAATGTTCATTGAGCGCATCCCCAGGAATCTCGTAGTTTCGCACAATTTCCGACTCCACAATATTTCCGTCTGGAGATAGGGCTCTTACACTGGTAGTGTATTTTACAGATCCTGAGTGCAATGAAGCGGGTGCATCCGGACTAAGCACAGGCGGCTGCGTTGACTGAAGGCCATACCTGTTCTCAACGTCGATCCCCTCGCTGCCAGGCGGTCTAGCGTGACCACTGGAAACACTGGGAGTCGGATCCGCCCCAGCACTTTCAGGTCCCATGCGTCCATCAGCAACACTGCTGAATGCGTTCGTATTCTGACTCAGTTTTAATAGCACCGGATCAATCTGTCCTATGAGTTTACAGCTGATATCATCATCTGAGGGAGCCTGATGAAGTGTTGTAATCAAATATTGACTTGAGTTTGAATACATAGGTCCGATTGCCTGTTGATCAAACGATGGACTTTGCATTAGTCTCTCCATGGTCACTTGGACTTCATCAAGAAAGGGGATTTTTCTTCGATTGTACAGCAGTAGTCTTTGATTCTGTGAACTGTAAGCATCCATTAGCATACGCCGCACACTAGGTGAAGTTAGGCACGTCCCAACCAAGAGTTATTGATCGCGCATTTTTTAAACGCGGCCACAGGAACCTTGCACTAGGAAAAAGCTTGTACTTTCCCTGTTGTCACTCAAAGTCGGTGAACACAACAGAAGTTTTGGCAACTAAAAATTATGGGGATACTAGATAAATAGGCATAAACTGGTAACGCGAGCAACTATTCTGTTCAGAATAACTGTGGTCTTTAGTTCCGATTACTCTAAGCCGCCTCGATAGCTAAGTATTTCAGTACAAGGTAGCTCATTCGTCACTCACTGATATACACCTGTACCCATGTCTGATCCAGTTTGGCTGACACTATTTGCAATGGTTAACTAATGAACAGACGGTAATCGTATACTTCTCTCAGTAATGTATACACTTTGTATGTATGCATCATTAGCTGTCCACGTAAGGTGCTTCTGAATGTGACCTTTTTCATTACTAAAGCAAGTCAATTGTTTATGAAATCCTTACGCACCAGTGTGGCCGATAATTAGGGTGAAGCAAAACAAGTGAATGTCTACTACAATCTGTGATCCAAATAGAAGTACTGAGTTATTTTGCTGAGGCTACAGTTTCAATGATTAGAGTTGCGGTGTGCCATTCCATCTCGGGATGAGTAGCTTTAGAGAAACGATAGATTTTCAACTTTGCGCATTCAGGACCCTACAACTGCAGTTTGTTTCCAAGCAGCGGTTATAGTACGCTTGGTCACTGAGAGCTTGAGATTCTGCTTTACTGGGACCAAATTTAATTTGGTGTGTTATCTAAAGGTGTAATGATGCGCATAATACACAACGCCTACGATGCGATGCGTCGACTGAAAACTGTGAATAACGAATAGACTCGCCTTCAAAGCTTCACAAACAATAGCGAATCGAGCCGAATAAATGCTGCGTTGGCAAACCTATGTATTCCGTGAGTGGGCAAACTGCAGCCAGTTAAAATTGTCAGCACATCGGTGAGGATGTGACTGCACTAGGACACCATATGATTGCAAATGCTCTTCTTAACGGACGACGATCCACCTAGGTAAACCTTCCAGTCAGTGCTGGCGCCAGTGCCTCTAAAGTTGTTTACCAACGCGTCACGATGCATACTGAATTGGCAAGCCCGGCCGCATGACTTCGTCAGCATAAATAAATAAACGGTATGTTTCTCGCCACTGCGAGATATAGTCTGACTAGATGATCCGATCAGTTTGTACAGAGGGACTGTATAAGATAGAGGAATGCTCCGATTGTTCAAAGTGGTCTCTAAACAACTTTTCAGAGTGGGTGATTAGTTAAATGAATTAAAAATACAAAGCAAGTGGTCATTAAGTTTCAGTAATGATGTAGACAAAGCCTCCAGTAAAGTAGTAAGGCAATCCGTGCATCCTTCTCCTGGGGACCTGTTTCCATACGGGGTATTCCCTCATGGTCACTTCACGCAAATGATATGTTCACCGGTCAGGCAACTTATGTTTTACGTCTCACGGCTGCGATCATCCCCGTATCACACAATTTGGTTCTGCAGTTCATCACTGGAGTTAGTTGCATCTGGTGACTTTTCAAAACCTTTGTGTAGACACTTGGTACTGCTGGACAGATTACCGAAGCATTTGTATTGAATCTCTCAGTCCGTCACGTCATTAGAACTTGTAATTTTTGCACCTGCTGATGGTCCATTTGTTTTACTGACTGTATACCCACTTACACTTTTGTCCTCGGTGAGTCGCGCTCTACGTGGTCCGTCGCTGTTGCTTAATCTCTCTCCACTCTTTGTAGCATGCAAATTATCAGTTGGGTCCAGCTGCCTCCATCTTCTCTACTGTTCTGTATTTTGCACGTCTTACGTGTCACCGTTACCGACTGGTATCCGAGGTGCAACCTAACAGTTGGTAACACCAGCTCAGAACAGGCAATCCGCCACTTTTAGTTTTAATTTGGTGAGCTGTTTCCAGTGAACTTGTAATTATTCACTTGTTATCATTTTGATTTCTCACCCGCGGTACATTTTTATTCACTTTATGCTATGATTAATCGAGAGGATAAGCCATTA